TTTGTGAAGCAGTGTTTTCTGCAGTGACAGCAACAAAAACGAGATTATGGAGTAGACTGGACATAAGCAACACACTTCGGGTGTCACGGTCTTCCATCACCCCCAGATGGGACCATCTAGTTACAGGAAAATAAGCTCAGGGCTCCCACTGATTCTGCATTATGGTGAGATGTATCATTATTTCATATTACAATGTAATAATATAAATAAAGTGCACAATAAATATAATGCGCTTGAATTATCATGAAACCATCCCCCCGCCCCACCGGTCCGTGAAAAAAATGTCTTCTTACTAATTGTGATTCTTGCTTTAACTTTTACTGATTGTTTTAGTGTAATTCTATCAGGTCTCAGAATTCAGATCTTGCCGAAGGATACAGTTGTTATAATTAAGATCATTATGCATGAACTTTGAAAGGAACCACTCAGACACTTCTGTGTTAAGCAACTTTAATTTCTAAACAAAAATATAACACTCTAATATGCAAACTCTTATGCTTGGAATTGTCACAGTACTCCTGGAGATGTGCTCATTGATCCGTACATTTAACCCTCACTGATTACGTTAAACTGGGTAACAGAGCAATCGGTTAATTCCTCAGAGTAACGCGAGCATAGGAAAAAGTCCTTAAAAATAAATGTGACCATATTCATACGAACGGCAATAATGAAACATGTCCCAAATGCAAAAGTAGACCTCAATGAATTCATTGGTAGATTATGTAATTAACTAAACGTCTTGGAACAATGGTGTGCGGCAGTGTGCCTGTGGGCAGAGGTGTGGACTCGAGTCATGTGACTTGGACTCGAGTCAGACTCGAGTCATGAATTTGATGACTTCAGACTCGACTTGGACTTGCATAACAATGACTTTGTCCCACCTCTGAGGTGTGGACTCGAGTCATGTGACTTGGACTCGAGTCAGACTCGAGTCATGAATTTGATGACTTCAGACTCGACTTGGACTTGCATAACAATGACTTTGTCCCACCTCTGCCTGTGGGGGCCGTTGGCCCCCAGGGTCTCCCCCTCACGCATCCCCTATTCCGGTTGCGTTGCCGCACCGCCCTATTACCCGCTAGGGTTTCGCCGGCCTTCGGACGCGACACCCCTACCCATACGGCCTCACGCAGCGCTCCCACGCTGCAAGCATACGTGCGCACAGCATCATCAATCAAATGCCATACTCCACCTCTTTACACCGCTACGTACAGCTCTCGCACGCTGCGAGCGTGTGCCCGTCTACAGCCCTGCGCGGCACTCGCCTCCACGTCGAATAACCACGTTACCAATGCGCACCCGTATCCGACACGTAGCGAACGTACGCGGACTCCCGCACACAGCTCCGCGCGGCACTCACTCACCACTGAACACTCACGTTGTGATCGCGCACCTGTATCATACACGTAGTGAACACACGCGCACCCACACGCGCAGCTCCGCGCAGCGCTCACTCACGTGGCTAACCACTGTGTACACAGCACCACACCCATTCACACCTCTCAACTAGATCACACGAGGCCACGATTAGCTATTAATGATTTATTTTCGACCACCTGGGAATTGATATTAAATCAGTATGAATCGACGAGGCTGGCCTATTCTACTACCCCTGGACCTATTCCCTATTTATCGACTATGATCCTACTTCACCTTCTTACTCACTGTTAGGTGCCCACAGCGGTCCTTTGATCCCGTACTCGCGGCGTACCTCGATGCGTCTCACGGACGTTCGGGTCGCTGGCTGGAGAGCGTCTTGTTGCCTGGTGCTGGAGTAAGAGAGCGATCTCCCCTTTGCGCCCCATTTTTATCCTCCCTACATCAAAGGGATGCGGCTCCGGGCGTGGTGGCGGCCCCTCCCAGTTTTTCTTTAACAATGGGCGCGTGCCCGTCAGCACGCGTACGGCGGTTCCGGGCGCCATTGCTATGCTAATCAGATGCGTTGCGTGTTGCGGCGTTTATTCTAATTAATCCCTTTCTCATGCATGGCGCCTTGGTCTTGCGCATTATGCAGCGGCGTCCATCACCACGGCCTGCTGTGGAAGTTAAGCGCGGAGCCTCTGCATGTCTCCACCACCTGCCCCATCACTTGCGCTCTATGCGCCCGAGTCGCCTCTCTGATTATTTGCAATTCCAGCCCTATCCTTTAACTTCCCTAACAATGGCACCTACGCACTCGAGCCCTCTTTGGCACGCTAAACTATGCCGCCCCGTCCCTCCTCTGCCTATCTCGTCGACCCGTGGGGGTGTGTGTGGGGGGATGCGTTTCAACCGCGGTGGCCGAATGCCCTTCGCCGCGACCATAACATCTTAAGGCCGGTCGCAGCGCCGCGGTGCAAAGTAGCGTCGGGGGAGGTCGTCCAATTCCCTGGTCACCGGAAACCGTGAAAGTTAATCACGATAAGGGTTTCTCGGATAAAAATCGGTCAGTCAGGTGACCTCCCCTCGGAGCTCTATGGGGGGGGGGGGGGGGGAAATGCGTGCGGGTGTGTTCATGTGAGGTGAGGGGGGCGCAGGGTCGGCTCCGTCGCTTGGTGGTGGCGAGGTTGTAGATGGGGCGCCTGCTGAACGGCTTCGTGGCGGCGGCATCACATGCCTGCTTCAGCAAATGCTTATCAATTGGCTAAGGCGTCAATAAATTCGCGGGCAAGATTCTGTGATCAAAAGAAAGATTTCAACACAATAGTCTCCCTGTGAGTGTGTGGATTCGTAACGTAGGTTTCTAAACGTTAAGTTTCGTCAATGAATTCATCGGTACAGTTAAAATTAACAAAAAGAACGAATAAAATACTTCTCAAAGACCGTATCCACGTGACTCAATGGGCAGCAATGTTCTTCATTATCAGCTAATAGTTGACGCACTCTTATGATTATTCTTCTCATTATTAGTCCCGGTATGTGCGGTGTGTTTGGTGGTTTTGTCTCCTTGATCAATTCTTCGCGTCAAGCAGACGCTGGGTGATACGTGGCGAGTATGTGAGTGTGGGGGAGGGTCACACACACAGCTTCCTCACTCTCTCTCGCTCGGCCGCAGCTGGAGCTGCTGCCCACTGCTGGATGAAGAGTCGGCACGACGCTCGCCGTCGGCGGTGCGCGATGATTCCGTCGTCAGATAGCGCCCGCAGCTCGTCTGCTGGTCGCCGTTCCTCACTCTTGTCTTGGTTCACAGCTGGTGCTGGTCGGTGTGTGTGGGTCGAACCCACGGCGTTCTCCTCTTTCTCACGGGTGGCTATTCATGGTTTTGTCCCCTGCTGGATGAGCCGAGTCGGCACGATGCTTGTCTTTGAAGGTGCTCGACAGCGCTCGCCGCTCGTCCGCTGGCAGCTGACACCCTTGCTCGGTGGCGCTGCTGCGCTCTCTCTCTGGCTCCGTGCTCTCTGGCGATGCCTGGTTGCGCGTGCAGCTGGTTCTCTAAGATGCTGGCTTGGTCGATGCTTGGGCTTCCACCCTTTCTCCCGGTTGATTGATCGTCGTTGCTCGTCACTCTATCTCTCGGGCTGCAGCTGCTCGTAGGAGCAGGCACTCAGCGTTGAATAACTTTGAGCGATAATTCTTCTGTCAGCGCCGAGCTCGTACTCGGTGACCCATTGCTACTCGGCAAACTTCTTCATCCTTGGTTGATTGCAGAGTCCCACCCCAGAGCTTGCTGCTTGCAGTAAGTCAACTCTGCGTTGATTTTGTAGACTCGTGGCTTCTGCTGGTGCAGCTCGTTGACGATGTGCCAGTCACGGGGGCAGGTTCCCCGGAGCCTGCCGATCGCAGCTGCTCGTGGGAGCTGGAACTCACTCTCAAAACTTGTAAATTGTATTCGCACACCTCTTGAACAACTGTGACAGCTTAGTACAATACAACTTATCGCAATCCTTGACTTTGAAAGCGACTCAAAACATCAGGATAAATGTAGAATAAAACTCTCAGCGATACTCTGTCAGTCCATGCCGAACTCAGCACCAAGCATCACCTCGCCCCTCTTCTCTGCGAGACACAACACCCATTGTTGATCTCGAGGCCATGCCCCGGAGTCTACCCTGTCGCAGTACTCTGTCGCTTGTAGTCTTCTGTAACTTGCAGTAGTCTCGATGTATGGGTCGTGCCTCTGTTTTTACGTGAAATTCTCTCCCCTCGAATCGCCGTGTGGTTAGTCATAGGACACAACATATGCATTGTCTTTGAAACTGATTGGTCCACACCAGAGACAGCTTTCTTTCGAGCCTAGTATCAAACGGTGATAATCCAGAGGACACCAAAAGGCGTGCTCTTCGAGTGTTTGTGATGAGATAATACACAACTCCGAGTTGCTGAGGTGATTAAGCAAGCACTATATAAATGCTAATAACATAGTGAATGCTTGGGACTTTGTTGGCTCTCACTCCTAGTTAGAGATCTACCCAACCCACAGGTCCGCAAATACTGACGGCTCTTACTCTGCAGGTTGAACCTAGGAATGGAGTGTTCAACTTCAAGTTCTTTTCCTTAAAGGCCTGTGACAAATGTGAATCTATTGGAGCTTCATTGTCTCAATCTTACACATCTACAGGTTCTCCATTTGACTTTGTATTGTCTAAGAAGTCCACCCACACCTCCACTTCAACAAACTGCTGGGAGTTGCCTCGCTCTGCCTCACAGTGAGAATTCTCCTCCTGCTTCACATGGCCTCCATTGATGTGAAGGTCCAATTTTGGAGTTGAATGTTCATCTTCACATTTAACCTTCACTTCTTCGCTCTTCACTTCTTCGCTCTTCACCGTCGCCTCTTCAAATTTCACCTTCGCCTCTTCAAATGTCACCTTGATACATGTCATAGTGTCCAAGCTGGAATTTACTTCTGGTTCTTTTTTCAGGAGGGATGGGCTCATTGCAGCACTTTGACTTTCACAAGTCGATTTCAAACTACAATCTTTGGGGGTCTCCTGATGCCATTGTGTTCTCTGGTGTGTATTAAGTTGTGTTGACTGTGCAAATGCTTTCCCGCACAGAGTGCACTTGAAGGGTTTCTCTGCGTGTATTCTCTGGTGTATTTTAAGATTAGACGAACTTGAAAATGCCTTCCCACACACAGTGCACTTAAAGGGTTTCTCTCCTGTGTGCGTTCTCTGGTGCATTTTAAGATTTGATGAATATGAAAATGCCATCTCACACACACCGCACTTGAAGGGGTTCTCTCCTTTGTGCGATCTCTGGTGGATTTTAAGATTAGATGAACTTGAAAATGCCATCTCACACACACCGCACTTGAAGGGTTTCTCTCCTGTGTGTATTCTTTGGTGTATTTTAAGATAATATGAACTTGAAAATGCCTTCCCACACACACTGCACTTAAAGGGTTTCTCTCCTGTGTGCGTTCTCTGGTGCTTTTTAAGATTTGCTGACTGTAAAAATGCCATCTCACACACACTGCACTTAAAGGGTTTCTCTCCTGTGTGTGTTTTCTGGTGGATTTTAAGATGAGATGACTGTGAAAATGCCATATCACACACACTGCACTTGAAGGGTTTATCTCCTGTGTGTCTTCTCTGGTGTCTTTTAAGATGAAATGAACTTGAAAATGCCTTCCCACACAAAGTGCACTTGAAGGGTTTCTCTCCTGTGTGAGTTCTCTGGTGTTTTTTAATAGCAGATGAATCTGAAAATGCCTTCCCACACACAGTGCACTTGAAGGGATTATCTCCTGTGTTTCTTCTCTGGTGTCTTTTAAGATGAAATGAACTTGAAAATGCCTTCCCACACAAAGTGCACTTGAAGGGTTTCTCTCCTGTGTGAGTTCTCTGGTGTTTTTTAATAGCAGATGAATCTGAAAATGCCTTCCCACACACAGTGCACTTGAAGGGTTTCTCTCCTGTGTGAGTTCTCTGGTGTTTTTTAAGAGCAGATGAATCTGAAAATGCCTTCCCACACACAGTGCACTTGAAGGGTTTCTCTCCCGTTGGAGATCTCTGGTCCTGTGTAAAATTTCCAGTACAATCCATGCTGTTTGCATACTGGTCCCATTGTTGTCTTTTTTTACCGAGCCGCGCTGAGTGCCTTTGCTCCATCAGACCAATTCTGCAGAGGAAGCATCAGAAGAAGCATCAGAAGAAGCATCAGCTGCAGACAGAAAAAAAATGTCCACACCATCTTAATCAAAATCGAGGCACAGAGGAATGAATATATACACAGTCACACATGACTTACACGTCTATCTTTATTCATATATTCAAGATTATCCCCAATTCATCACATGGGCTGTTAAGGCAAACAATGAGGGGGCAAATGGTTATAAATATGCCTGGAACCCCTAGTATCTTCAAAATAAATATTAACCCAAAACACCAAGAACACAATTTCGGCTGCCTGGCTGAAAAAGTAGTATTTTAAAAGCAAATTTCAGCTAACATAGCAAAGGCTGTTGGGAATACTACTATTTGTATTATGCATAAATGCATACATACATTTTCAATCGAAACTTTAGAGGTGTGAAGCCAGGCTCAGATTTGCTTGGATGAACAGATCTAACTTCAGCAGCATATGTGCTGTTAATTTCCTGTTTCCATTCCTCCAAAAAGTTCCAGAGAGAAACTAAAATAAACGATTGTTTTGATTTAACCTCCATGTTCAATAGTGAATATAATTTACTGCAAATACAAACTTGACACTGTCACACACTGGCATGGTAAAAAGTGGTGGTGTGTCCAGAACCATGCCTGGCCGCCTTCATCTGCTCAGTATTGACGCTTCCTCACTTCACCATGTAATTAATTTAAGATCAATCACCACAGCAGAGGCCCACAAGCAGTTCAGCTTTCACTTATCAATCATGTTTGCTGTCGGTGATAATCAAACTAATTATTGAGTTCATAATGCAGTGAAATAACTGCACCACAGCTCCTCACAAAGATAAACTCCTAAATACACATACATTTCACATGCATCATTAACATATATAAACTAAAATCCACCATTCATGACGAATTGCAAGTAACCTTATCCCAGTGCTAATGCCATGATAGGTGCAATTTAAGGCCATGTAAGTGTGGATTCCTTGTCATCAGGTCATGGGAATGATCCAGGTGTCAAGAGATGACTGACAGATGAACCAGCTGTGCTCCCCACTGTCTTGCTGGGTTTTAGGAACCCAGAGTTATAACTATTCATGTGGGCGTCGCTCTTCCGACCTCATCGTTGTTGCAGATAAAATATCTATTAACTGCCCTGCAGCATACCTGCAGGGCAGTTAATATGGTGTCAGTTTTGTTGCCAGATAAAAGGGTAAAAAAAACAATTATCAAATTTTGCTACTGGCAAAGGAGGTTCCAATGGTGTAAATGCTTACCCCGAGCTCTCATACTCTGATGGTGCATTGTCTTTGAGTTGTACACCTTTTGGCGTCATCTGGTCCAACACCATGTGAGACTAGGCTCTAAGAAAAGCTGTCTCGGGTGTGGACCAATCAATTTCAAGGACAGTGCATACATTTTCAGAGTTGTGTTTTTGTTTGCATTCTGACCGCAGGTATCTTGGTCAATGCAAACATGACTCCTTGTAAAAAAAGGTGTCAGTTTTGTTGCCAGATAAAAGGGTAAAAAAACAATAATCATATTTTGCTACTGGCAAAGAAGATTCCGATGGTGCATTGGGAGCTTCTCAAACTACGTAGTTATTTATTAATTTAAAGCTTTCGTGACTGCAGGAATTATACTCTTTGGGTCCTTCGATCAAGTCGCGTACATAGAAAATAATATATCACGACGTTTCGATCGCAACACAAGCAATCGTCTTCAGGTGAGAGAGAAAGCTGCTGAAATATCCCAAGACAAAAAGAATTGTACAAATCTGTAAATGATGAAAGGAGAAAAGCCTCTTCTTATATTTTGCTACTGGGAAAGGAGGTCCCATGATGTAGCTGCTCACTCCCCGAGCCGTCATTGTTCTGATGGTGGCGTTGTCTTTGTGCTGTGTACGCCTTTTGGCGCTGTCCTCTGGTCTAACACCGTTTGAGACTAGGCTCGAAAGAAAGCCGTCTCTGGTGTGGACCAATCAATTTCACAGACAATGCACAGATTATCACAGCATGTGTTTTGTTTGCTTATTGATCGCGAGTATATTGTGGTTAATGCAGACACGATTCCTTGCAAGAGGTTTCAGTTCGGCGTTTTAACATCTTAACACCTAAATTTAGATTTGAAGCTTTCCTGACAGCAGGGATTCATATTCTTGGTTCTTTTGGTAAAGTCATCAGGTAGAAGCGAAATAATAAAATAAAAAATATATAAAATTAAAATTTCTCACGTTTCGATTGCAACACGAGCAATCATCGTCAGGTGTGAAAAACACAGCAAGAAAATTTTCCAAAATTTTCAAAAAAATTCTTGCTGTTTTTCACACCTAAAGCCACGTAGAAGACAAATAAAATTAAATAAATTCTCACGACGTTTCGACTGCAACACGAGCAATCATCGTCAGCTTGAAAAACACGGCAAGAAAATTATATTACTTTATTATTTCCCTTCTATGTGACTTTACCGAAAGAACCAAAAATATCTTAACACCTGTTTCAGTGGCCAGAAAAGGGGAAAAACCTCTTCTTATATGTTGCTACTGGCAAAGGAGGTCGCATGAAGTAGTGAGCCAGATGAAGACGAATTAAACTTAAGCAGAGGATTAAAGCAAATGCAATCAGGCGAGGGCAGGAGGCAAGGCCCCGCGTGGCTAGGCCCCGCGTTGTAATGTTCCAACCTGGACATCGATTCCATACTCGCTGCTACTCAATTGAGATCCCTACGAGAGAGACGGAGAGAGGCTCTACCTGGGCAAACAACAACAACCACAACGACAACAACAACCACGATGTTAACTTCTCACCTCGGATCTGTGAGAGCGAGCGCGGTGTAGCAGCTCGTGACGTCACGCGGCAGCAGGAGGTGACATGACGTCACTTGCGGTGTTCAACACATTCCCCTCCCCCAACGAGCGGCAGTGTAACTGAATAAATTATGTTAATGAGACGGGCTCATGTCCAGTGATGAGGCGTGGATGCTGAACCAGTCACAATGAACTAGCGATAGCATTTATGAATAAATTATGTTAATTAACCGCCAGTTGATAGTTTGTTTCATTTATTAGGTACTGCCTGGGGGAAAAATTTATTGAAAAACTTCTCAAGAAAATTAAAAACATAATTTTTTAAATAAAATGTAAATACATTTTAATAAATCCCAACGCGCGGGGGAAAATAACTTACGCTCGCGCGTCAAAATTCGATTCTTTAGATCGCACAAAGGAATCGAAGGTTGTAGATTTATTTAGAATCGCTTAATCCCTTTTAATCGATACCACAAACGCTCAGCAGATATCGATTCTCACCACACACTTCATGGTCATCCCCCCCCCCATCCCCCCCCCAAAAAAACAAAAGTTTATATTTTATAATTTTTTGATGGTGTACATTTTGCAAAGTACCCACATTGCAAATTTCAAGTTTGTTGCATGTCGGGAAGTACAGCTAAACATTTTGAACGGACAACACATTCACAAATTTTCCTTTCATATATAGAAGACTAGCTTGACTACCCGGCTTCGCCCGGGACTTGGATTCACCACGCCCGGCCGCCTTTGTCTCCCCAGTGGCGATGTTCACACACCACATCAGTTACTCGTTTGAGGCTGAGTCGACCTAGGGGAAGCCCAGGACCAGTAAAAATAATCGTGGTGGCCGTGAGCGGGAATCTAACTCGGATCGCCGGATTCGTAGCGCAGTGCGCTCACCACACATCATCTCTAAAACACAGAAGTGAGATGGCTTTCTAAAGGTAGATCACTGGCCAGAGTTTTTCAGTTGCGAGAGCCACTCCAGAGACATCTTTTAGAAAAACAGTCACCACTGGCAGCACATTTCAGTGACACAGAATGGGTCCAAAAACTTGCTCACTTGTGTGACATGTTAAGCCTGCTCAACGTACTCAATCTGTTATTTCAGGGGAGATCGACAACTCTGTTCAATTCGGTAGATAAAGTGGCTGCATTCAAAGCCAAACTGGAATTATGGGGGCGACGAGTGAACATTGGAACTTTTGACATGTTTCAAACACTAGCAGAGATTTTGAAAGAGACTGAGCCAGGGCATTTCTCCCAGTTGGTGCATTAAAACCTATCTCAGCTTTTAAAAGAGTTTGAGCATTATTTCCCAACCACAAAAGACCCCCGAACTGGGAAGGAATGGACCCGCGACCCATTTGTGAATAAGCCAGGTAAATCAACTTTGTCTGTGCTAGAAGAGGATCAACTGCTTGAGATCGCAAACGAAGGTGGCCTTAAAAGTATGTTTTGAGACAACTTCAAATCTCTATACGTTCTGGATTAAAGTCAAGGCGGAATATCCTGAGATTGTCACAAAAGCACTGAAAAGCCTGCTTCCATTTCCAACATCCTATCTTTGTGAAGCAGGGTTTTCTGCAGTGACAGCAACCAAAACGAGATTATGGAGTAGACTGGACATATGCAACACACTTCGGGTGTCACCGTCTCCCATCACCCCCAGATGGGACCATCTCGTTACAGGAAAACAAGCTCAGGGCTCCCACTGATTCTGCATTATGGCGAGTTGTATATTATTTCATATTACAATGTAATAATAATATAAATAAAGTGCACAATAAATATGTTCTTGAATCATCATGAAACCATCCCTGCACCCCCCCCCCCCCACCCCCGCTGGTCCGTGAAAAAATCGTCTTCTTACTAATCGTGATAACACAAAGATTCTCGCTTTAACTTTTACTGATTATGTTTTAGTGTAATTTTATCAGGTCTCAGAATTCAGATCTCGCCGAAGGATACAGTTCTTATCATTAAGATCATTATGCATGAACTTAGGAAGGAACCACTCAGACACTTCTGTGTTAAGCAACTTTAATTTCTAAACAAAAACATAACACTCTAATATGCGAACTCTTATGCTTGGAATTGTCAACACTGTACTCCTGGAGATGTGCTCCTCATTGATCCGTACATTTAACTCTCAATGATTACGTTAAACTGGGTAACAGAGCAATCGGTTAATTCCTCAGAGTAACGCGAGCATAGGATAAAGTCCTTAAAAATTAATGTGACGATATTCATACGAATGGCAATAAAGAAACATGTCCCGAATGCAAAAGTAGACTTTAATGAATTCATTGGTAGATTATGTAATTAACTAAATGTCTTGGAACAATGGTGTGCGGCAGTGTGCCTGCTTCAGCAAATGCTTATCAATTGGCTAAGGCTTCAATAAAATCGCGGGCAAGATTCTGTGATCAAAAGAAAGATTTCAACACAAGTCTCCCTGTGAGTGTGTGGATTCGTAATGTAGGTTTCTAAACGTTTAGTTTCGTCAATGAATTCATCGGTACAGTTAAAATTAACAAAAAGAATGACTGAAAAATTTCTCAACAACCGTATCCACGTGACTCAATGGGCAGCAATGTTCTTCACTATCAGCTAATACTTGACACACTCTTATCATTATTCTTATTATTATTAGTCTCGGTATATGCGGAATGTGTGTGTTTGGTGGTTTTGTCTCCTTCATCAATTCTTTGCGTCAAGCAGACGCTGGGTGATACGTGGCGAGTATGTGAGTGTGGGGGAGGGTCATACACACAGCTTCCTCGCTCTCTCTCGCTCGGCGGCAGCTGGAGCTGCTGCCCACTGCTGGATGAAGAGTCGGCACGACGCTCGACGTCGGCGGTGCACGATGATTCCGTCGTCAGATAGCGCCTGCAGCTCGTCTGCTAGTCGCCGTTCTTCACTCTTGTCTTGGTTCACAGCTGGTGCTGGTCGGTGTGTGTAGGTCGAACCCACGGCGCTCTCGCTGGCGCTCTCTTCCTCACGGGCGGCTGGTCAGGCTCTTTCCCCTGCTGGATGAGCTGAGTCGGCACGATGCTTGTCTTTCAAGGTGCTCGACAGCGCTCGCCGCTCGTCCGCTGGCAGCTGACACCCTTGCTCGGTGGCGCTGCTGCGCTCTCTCTCCGGCTCCGTGCTCTCTGGCGATGCCTGGTTCTGCGTGCAGCTGGTTCTCTACGATGCTGGCTTGGTCGATAATTGGGCTTTCATCCTTTCTCCCGGATGATTGCTCGTCGTTGCTCGTCACTATCTCTCGGGCTGCAGCTGCTCGTGGAAGCTGGCACTCAGTGTAGAATAACTTTGAGCGATACTTCTGTCAGCGCCGAGCTCGTACTCGGTGACCAATTGCTACTCGTCAAGCCTCTTCATCCTTGGTTGATTGCAGAGTCCCACCCCAGAGCTTGCTGCTTGCAGTAAGTAACTCTTTGTGTTGATTTCGTAGACTCGTGGCTTCTGCTGGTGCAGCTCGTTGACGATGTGCCAGTCACGGGGGCAGGTTCCCCGGAGCCTGCCGATCGCAGCTGCTCGTGGGAGCTGGAACTCACTCTCAAAACTTGTAAATTGTATTTGCACACCTCTTAAACAACTGTGAAAGCTTAGTACAAAACAACTTATCGCAATCCTTGACTTTGCAAGCGACTCAAAACATGAGGATAAATGTAGAATAAAACTCTCAGCGATACTCTGTCGGTCCATGCCGAACTCAGCAACGAGCATCACCTCGCCCCCTCTTCTCTACGAGACACAAAACCCATTGTTGATCTCGAGGCCATGCTCCGGAGTCTGCCCATCGCAGTACTCTCTGTCGCTTGTAGTCTTCTGTAACTTGCAGTAGTCTCTATGTATGCGTCGTGCCTAGGACACAACATATGCATTGTCTTTGAAACTGATTGGTCCACACCAGAGACAGCTTTCTTTCGACCCTAGTATCAAACGGTGATAATCCAGAGGACACCAAAAGGCGTGCTCTTCGAGTGTTTGTGATGAGATAATACAAAACTCCAAGTTGCTGAGGCGATTAAGCAAGCACTATATAAATGCTAATATTATTATAACATAGTGAATGCTTGGGAGCTTATTGGCTCTCGCTCCTAGTTAGAGATCTACCCAACCCAAAGGGCCGCAAATACTGACTGCTCTTACTCAGCAGGTTGAACATAGGAATGGAGTGTTCAACTTCAAGTTATTTTCCTTAAAGGCCTGTGACAAATGTGAATCTATTGGAGCTTCATTGTCTCAATCTTACACATCTACAGGTTCTCCATTTGACTTTGTATTGTCTAAGAAGTCCACCCACACCTCCACTTCCACAAACTGCTGGGAGTTGCCTCGCTCTGCCTCACAGTCAGAATTCTCCTCCTGCTTCACGTTGCCTCCATTGATGTGAAGGTCCGATTTTGGAGTTGAATGTTCATCTTCACATTTGACCTTCACTTCTTCGCTCTTCACCGTCGCCTCTTCAAATTTCACCTTGATACATGTCATAGTGTCCAAGCTGGAATTTACTTCTGGTTCTTTTTTCAGGAGGGATGGGCTCATTGCAGCACTTTGACTTTCACAAGTCGATTTCAGACTACACTCCTTGGGGGTCTTCTGATGCCCGTGTGTTCTCTGGTGTCTATGAAGATGTTGTGAATGTTCAAACGCCTTCCCGCACAAAGTGCACTTGAATGGTTTCTCTCCTGTGTGTGTTCTCTGGTGTAGTTTAAGATTATATGAACTTGAAAATGCCTTCCCACACACAATGCACTTGAAGGGTTTCTCTCCTGTGTGTGTTCTCTGGTGTATTTTAAGATTATATGAACTTGAAAATGCCTTCCCACACACACTGCACATAAAGGGTTTCACTCCTGTGTGCGTTCTCTGGTGCCTTTTAAGATTTGATGAATGTGAAAATGCCATCTCACACACACTGCACTTGAAGGGTTCATCTCCTGTGTGTGTTCTCTGGTGTATTTTAAGATTAGACGAACTTGAAAATGCCTTCCCACACACACTACACCCGAAGGGGTTCTCTACTGTGTGTGTTCTCTGGTGTTTTTTAAGATGCGATGAACGTGAAAATGCCTTCCCACACACAGTGCACCTGAAGGGCTTCTCTCCTGTGTGTGTTCTCTGGTGTATTTCAAGATAAAATGAATTTGAAAATGCCTTGTCACACACAGTGCACCTGAAGGGTTTCTCTCCTCTGTGTGTTGTCTGGTGTTTTTTAAGATAAGATGAACGTGAAAATGCCTTCTCACACACAGTGCACTGGAAGGGTTTTTCTCCTGTGTGTGTTCTCTGGTGTATTTTAAGATAAGATGAACTTGAAAATGCCTTCACACACACAGTGCACTGGAAGGGTTTCTCTCCTGTGTGTGTTTTCTGGTGTAATTTAAGATAAAATGAACTTGAAAATGGCTTCTCACACACAGTGCACTTGAAGGGTTTCTCTCCTGTGTGTGTTCTCTGGTGTATTTTAAGATAAAATGAACTTGAAAATGCCTTCCCACACACAGTGCACTTGAAGGCTTTCTCTCCCGTTGGAGATCTCTGGTCCTGTGTAAAATTTCCAGTACAATCCATGTTATTTGCATACTGGTCCCATTGTTGTCTTTGTCTACTGAGCTGTGCTGGGTGCCTTTGCTCCATCAGACCAATTCTGCAGAGGAAACATTAGAAGCATCAGCTGCAGACAGAAAAAAATGTCCACACCATCTTAATCAGTATTGAGGGACAGAGGAATGAATATATACAGTCACACATGACTTACACGTCTATATTTATCCACATATTCAAGATTATCCCCAATTCATCACACGGGCTGTTAAGGCACACAATGAGAGGGCCAAAGGTTATAAATATGCCTGGAAGCCATAGTATCTTCAAAATAAATGTTAACCCAAAACACCAAGCACACAATTTCGGCAGCCTGGCTGCAAAAGTAGTATTAATAAAAGCAAAATTCAGCTAACATAGCAAAGGCTGTTGGGAATAATACTATTTGTATTATGCAGAAATGCATAAACAAATGTTCAATCGCAACTTTAGAGGTGTGAGGCCAGGCTCAAATTTGCTTGAACGCTTGGATGAACAGATCTAACTTCAGCAGCATATGTGCTGTTAATTTCCTGTTTCCATTCTTCCAAAAAGTTCCAGAGGGAAACTAAAATAAACGATTGTTTTGATTTAACCTACATGTTCAATAGTTAATATAAATTACTGCAAATATAAACTTGACACTGTCACACACTGGCATGGTAAAAAGTGGTGGTGTGTCCAGAACCATGCCTGGCCGCCTTCATCTGCTCAGTATTGACGCTTCCTCACTTCACCATGTAATTAATTTAAGATCAATCAACATAGCAGAGGCCCACAAGCAGTTCAGCTTTTACTTATACTGGTAGGAACGAAGTGGACCAGCCTACAACAGATTATATCGTCCGTCCGTCCGTGTAGCAACATCGCCCCCTACTGCAAACACTTGGCATGACCCTACAAAAACCTTTAGACTCAGTGACGCTTTCCTAGCTAAACAAGTGTAACATTCCCTTATAATTCCCTCAGATAGCTTTTAATTAAAACATTTAAATTAATGAGGCTTTCCTGGCTAAACAAGTGTAACATTCCCTTATAATTCCCTGAGATAGCTTTAAATTAAAACTTTGAATTTAAAATTGAACTCACTGCGCCCTAAAGCCTACAGCTAGGCCTAAAGCCTCGAACTACGCCTCAAACTCTCCCTTCGTATCGTACCCCCGCGTGTGTGCAAGGGAGTTAATGTTTAACAATGTTACATTCCCTGATGCTTTTAAATAAAAACATTTAAATGTAAAGCTTTTACATAAATAATAAAAACATTTAAATTTAAAATGAAATCACGGCGGCCTAAAGCCTACAGCTAAGCCTAAAGCCTAGAACTAGGCCTCAAACTCTCCCTTCGTATCGTACCCCCGCGTGTGTGAAAGGGAGTTAATGTTTAACAATGTTACATTCCCTGATGTTTTAAAATAGAAACATTTACATTTTAAGCTTTTACATAAATAATTAAAACATTTAAATAAAAAATTAACTCACAGCAGCCTAACGCCTACAGCTAGGCCTCAAGCCTAGAACTAGGCCTCACACTCTCCCTTCGTATTGTCCGATTCGGTGTAGCAACATCGCCCCCTACTGCAAACACTTGGCAGGACCCTACAAAAACCTTTAGACTCAGTGGGGCTTTCCTGGATAAACAAGTGTAATAATACATTATGTTTATATTCTTTGGTTATTCGTTCCTACCAGCCCACCCAGCAGGGTCCTGTTCAATCATGTTTGCTGTCGGTGATAATCAAACTAATTGTTGAGTTCATAATGCAGTGAAATAAATGCACCACAGCTCCCCACAAAGATAAACTTCTAAATACACGTACATTTCACATGCATCATTAACATATATAAATAAAAATCCACCATTCATGACGAATTGCAAGTAACCTTATCCCAGTGCTAATGCCATGATCGGTGCAATTTAAGGCCATGTAAGTGCGGATTCCTTGTCAGCAGGTAATAACAATGATCCAGGTGTCAAGGGATGACTGACAGATGAACCAGCTGTGCTCCCCACTGTCTTGCTGGGTTTTAGGAACCCAGAGTTCCACCTATTCATGTGGGCGTCACTCTTCCGACCTCATCGTTGCTGCAGAGAAAATATCTATTAACTGCCCTGCAGCATACCTGCAGGGCAGTTAATATGGTGTTGGACCAGATGACGCCAAAGGCGTACAACTGAAAAAAGGTGTCAGTTTTGTTACCAGATAAAAGGGTAAAAAAACAATTATCATATTTTGCTACTGGCAAAGGAGGTTCCAATGGTGTAAATGCTTACCCCGAGCTCTCATACTCTGATGGTACATTGTCTTTGAGATGTACGCCTTTTGGCGCCATCTGGTCCAACACCATGTGAGACTAGACTCTAAGAAAAGCTGTCTCGGGTGTGGACCAATCAATTTCAAGGACAGTGCATACATTATCAGAGTTGTGTTTTTGTTTGCATTCTGACCGCAGGTATTGTGGTCAATGCAAACATGACTCCTCGTAAAAAAGGCGTCAGTTTTGTTGCCAGATAAAATGGTAAAAAAATAATTATCATATTTTGCTACTGGCAAAGGAGGTTCCAATGGTGCATTGGGAGCTTCTCAAACTACGTAGTTATTTATTGATTTAAAGCTTTCGTGACTGCAGGAATTATACTCTTTGGGTCTTTCGGTCAAGTCGCGTACATAGAAAATAGATCACAACGTTTCGATCGCAACACAAGCAATCGTCTTCAGGTGAGAGAAAAAGCTGCTGAGATAAGGTCTTATATAGGCCTGAGATGGGTGCATCAAGGTAGGTGGGTGGAGCTAGAGATGGTCCAACCCATTGAAATAAACACGGAGAAACCGTATACAAAAAATATCCCAAGACAAAAAGAATTGTACAAATCTGTAAATGATAAAAGGGGAAAAGCTTCTTCTTATATTTTGCTACTGGGAAAGGAGGTCCCATGATGTAACTGCTCACCCTGAGCCGTCATTGTTCTGATGGTGGCGTTGTCTTTGTGCTGTGTACGCCTTTTGGCGCTGTCCTCTGGTCTAACACCGTTTGAGACTAGGCTCGAAAGAAAGCCGTCTCTGGTGTGGACCAATCAGTTTCACAGAGAATGCACAGATTATCACAGCATGTGTTTTGTTTGCATATTGATCGCGAGTATATTGTGGTTAATGCAGACACGATTGCTTGCAAAAGGTTTCAGGTCGGCGTTTAAACATCTTAACACCTAAATGTTTATTTAAAGCTTTCGTGACTGCAGGGATTCATATTCTTGATTCTTTCGGTAAAGTCATCAAGTAGAAGGGAAATAATAAAATATGAAACAATTAAAATTTCTCACGACGTTTCGATTGCAACACGAGCAATCATCGTCAGGTGTGATAAACACAGCAAGAAAATTATCCGAAATTTTCCAAAAATTTCTTGCTGTTTTTCACACCTAAAGTCACGTTGAAGAAAAACAATAAATTAAAAACATTTCTCCCTTTTAAACTGCAACACGAGCAATCAGCGTCGGGTGTGAAAAACACGGCAAAAATTTATTGGTGTTTTTCACACCTAAAGTCACGTAGAAGAAAAACAATAAAATAAAAAATAAAATAAAAATTCTCACGACGTTTCGACTGCAACACGAGCAATCATCGTCGGGTGTGAAAAACATGGCAAGAAAATTTTCCAAAAATTTCTTGCTGTTTTTCACACCTAAAGTCATGTAGAAGAAAAACAATGAAAAAAAAAATTCTTACGACATTTCGACTGCAACACGAGCAATCATCGTCAGGTGTGAAAAACACAGCACGAAAATTTTCCAAAATGTTGAAAAAAATTCTTGCTGTTTTTCAAACCTAGTCACGTAGAAGAAAAATGAAATAAATACAAATTCTCACGACGTTTCGACTGCAACACGAGCAATCAGGTGTGAAAAACACAGCAAGAAAATTTTATACAATTTTAAAAAAAATTCTTGCCGTTTTTCACAGTCACGTATAAGAAAAACAGAATTAAAAAAAATTAAAAAATTCTCACGTTTTGACTGCAACACGAGCAATCATCGTCAGCTGTGAAATCCACAGCAAGAAATTGTATTACTTTATTATTTCCCTTCTGCGTGACTTTACCGAAAGAACCAAGACTATCTTAACACCTGTTTTGTTGCCAAAAAGGGGGGAAAAAACCTCTTCTTATATGTTGCTACTGGCAAAGGAGGTCGCATGAAGTAGTGAGCCAGATGAAGACAAATTAAACTTAAGCAGAGGATTCATCTTCTTGGTTCTTTCGGTAAAGTCACGTAGAAGGGAAGTAATAAAATAATAAAAATAAAACATAATAAAACAATTCTCACGACGTTTCGGCCACAACGCAAGCAGCCGTCCTCAGGTGAAAACCAGGTCCCTGAGGACGGCTGCTTGCGTTGTGGCCGAAACGTCGTGAGAATTGTTTTATTATGTTTTATTTTTATTATTTTATTACTTCCCTTCTACGTGACTTTACCGAAAGAACCAAGAAGATGAATCCCTGCAGTCACGAAAGCTTTAAATCGAAATTTAAGCAGAGGATTAAAGCAAATGCAATCAGGCGAGGGCAGGAGGCAAGGCCCCGCGTGGCTAGGCCCCGCGCTGTAATGTTCCAACCTGGACATCGATTCCATACTCGCTGCTACTCAATTGATATCCCGACGAGAGAGAGACGGAGAGAGGCTCTACCTGGGCAAACAACAACAACCACCACGACAACAACGATGTTAACTTCTCACCTCGAATCTGTGAGAGCGAGCGCGGTGCAGCAGCTCGTGACGTCACGCGGCAGCAGCAGGTGACATGACGTCCCTTGCGGTGTTCAACACAATCCCCTCCCCCTACGAGCGCCAGTGTAATTGAATAAATTATGTTAATGAGACGGGCTCATGTCCAGTGATGAGGCGTGGATGCTGAACCAGTCACAATGAACTAGCGATATCATTTATGAATAAATTATGTTAATGTAACGGGCTCATGTCCAGTGATGAGGCGTGGATGCTGAACCAGTCACAATGAACTAGCGATAGCATTTATGAATAAATTATGTTAATGAACCGCCAGTTGATAGTTTGTTTCATTTATTAGGTACTGCCTGGGGGAAAAATTTATTGAAAAACTTCTCAAGAAAATTAAAAACATAACATATACAAATGAAATTTATTTTTATTTTTATCTTATGAATAATTTTTTTAATAAAATGTAAATAAATCCCAACACGCTGTGGAATATAAACTTACGCGCGCGCGTCAAAATTCGATTCTTTAGATCGCGCAAAGGAATCGAAGGTTGTAGATTTATTTAGATTCGGCCTATTCCCTTTTAATCGATACCACAAACGCTCAGCAGATATCGATTCTCGCCACACACTTCATGGTCATCCCCCCCCCCCCCAAAAAAAAACAAAAGTTTATTTTTTATAATTTTTGCATGGTGTACATTTTGCAAAGTACCCACATGGCAAATTTCAAGTTTGTTGCATGTCGGGAAGTACGCTAAACATTTTGAACGGACAACACATTCACAAATTTTCCTTTCATATATAGAAGACTAGCTTGACTTCCACGGCTTCGCCCAGGACTTGGATTCACCACGCCCGGCCGCCTTTGTCTCCCCAGTGGCGATGTTCACACACCACATCAGTTACTCGTTTGAGGCTGAGTCCACCTAGGGGAAGCCCAGGACCCGTAAAAATAATCGTGGTGGCCGTGAGCGGGAATCGAACTCGGGTCGCCGGGTTCGTAGCGCAGCGTGCTCACCACACATCATCTCTAAAACACAGAAGTGAGATGGCTTTCTAAAGGTAGATCACTGGCCAGAGATTTTGAGTTGCGAGAGCCACTCCAGAGACATCTTTTAGAAAAACAGTCACCACTGGCAGCCCATTTCAGTGACACAGAATGGGTCGAAAAACTCACTTGTGTAACATATTAAGCCTGCTCAACGTACTCAATGTGTCATTTCAATGGAGATCGACAACTCTGTTCAATTCGGCAGATAAAGTGGCTGCATTCAAAGCCAAACTGGAATTATGGGGGCGACGAGTGAACATTGGAACTTTTGACATGTTTCAAACACTAGCAGAGATTTTGAAAGAGACTGAGCCAGGGCCTTTCTCCCAGCTGGTGCATTAAAACCTATCTCAGCTTTTCAAAGAGTTTGAGCATTACTTCCCAACCACAAAAGACCCCCGAACTGGGAAGGAATGGACCCACGACCCATTTGTGAATAAGCCAGGTGAATCGACTTTGTCTGTGCGAGAAGAGGATCAACTGCTTGAGATCGCAAATGAAGGTGGCCTTAAAAGTATGTTTGAGACAACTTCAAATCTCTATACGTTCTAGATTAAAGTCAAGGCAGAATATCCTGAGATTGTCACAAAAGCACTGAAAAGCCTGCTTCCATTTCCAACATCCTATCTTTGTGAAGCAGGGTTTTCTGCAGTGACAGCAACCAAAACGAGATTATGGAGTAGACTGGACATAGGCAACACACTTCAGGTGTCACCGTCTCCAATCACCCCCAGATGGGACCATCTAGTTACAGGAAAACAAGCTCAGGGCTCCCACTGATTCTGCATTATGGCGAGTTGTATAATTATTTCATATTACAATGTAATAATAATATAAATAAAGTGCACAATAAATATGTTCTTGAAACATCATGAAACCATCCTTGCACCCCCCCCCCCCCCGCTAGTCCGTGAAAAAATCGTCTTCTTACTAATCGTGATAACACAAAGATTCTCGCTTTAACTTTTACTGATTATGTTTTAGTGTAATTCTATCAGGTCTCAGAATTCAGATCTCGCCGAAGGATACAGTTCTTACAATTAATATCATTATGCATGAACTTAGGAAGGAACCACTCAGACACTTCTGTGTTAAGCAACTTTAATTTCTAAACAAAAACATACCACTCTTATATGCAAACTCTTATGCTTGGAATTGTCAACACTGTACTCCTGGAGATGTGCTCCTCATTGATCCGTACATTTAACTCTCAATGATTACGTTAAACTGGGTAACAGAGCAATCGGTTAATTTCTCAGAGTAACGCGAGCATATACGGCGATAGGAAAAAGTCCTTAAAAATAAATGTGACGATATTCATATGAACGGCAATAAAGAAACATGTCCCGAAGGCAAAAGTAGACCTCAATGAATTCATTGGTAGATTATGTAATAAGCTAAATGTCAGTTTCATCTACCTAAATGTCTTGGAACAATGGTGTCCGGCAGTGTGCCTGCTTCAGCAAATGCTTATCAATTGGCTAAGGCTTCAATACATTCGCGGGCAAGATTCTGTGATCAAAAGAAATATTTCAACAGAAGTCTCCCTGTGTGTGGATTCGTAACGTAGGTTTATAAACGTTTAGTTTCGTCAATGAATTCATCAGTACAGTTAAAATTAACAAAAAGAACGACTAAAATACTTCTCAACGACCGTATCCACGTGACTCAATGGGCAGCAATGTTCTTCATTACCAACTAATAGTTGACGCACTCTTATCATTCTTCTTATTATTATTAGTCCCGGTATGTGCGGTGTGTTTGTTGGTTTTGTCTCCTTGATCAATTCTTTGCGTCAAGCAGACGCTGGGTGATACGTGGCGAGTATGTGAGTGTGGGGGAGGGTCATACACACAGCTTCCTCGCTCTCTCTCGCTCGGCGGCAGCTGGAGCTGCTGCCCACTGCTGGATGAAGAGTCGGCACGACTCTCGCCGTCGGCGGTGCGCGATTATTCCGTCGTCAGATAGCGCCCGCAGCTCGTCTGCTGGTTGCCGTTCCTCACTCTTGTCTTGGTTTACAGCTGGTGCTGGTTGGTGCGTGTGGGTCGAACCCACGGCGCTCTCCTCTTCCTCACGGGCGGCTGGTCAGGCTCTTTCCCCTGCTGGATGAGCTGAGTCGGCACAATGCTCGTCTTTGAAGGTGCTCGACAGCGCTCGCCGCTCGTCCGCTGGCAGCTGACACCCGTGCTCGGTGGCGCTGCTGCGCTCTCTCTCCGGCTCCGTGCTCTCTGGCGATGCCTAGTTGTGCGTCCAGCTGGATCTCTGCGATGCTGGCTTGGTCGATGCTTGGGCTTCCACCCTTTCTCCCGGTTGATTGCTCGTCGTTGCTCGTCACTCTATCTCTCGGGCTGCAGCTGCTCGTGGGAGCTGGCACTCCGCATTGAATAACTTTGAGGGATACTTCTTCTGTCAGCGCCGAGCTCGTACTCGGTGACCAATTGCTACTCGGCAAGCCTCTTCATCCTTGGTTGATTGCAGAATTCCCACCCAGAGCTTGCTGCTTGCAGTAAGTAACTCTTTGTGTTGATTTCGTAGACTCGTGGCTTCTGCTGGTGCAGCTCGTTGACTATGTGCCAGTCACGGGGGCAGGTTCCCCGGAGCCTGCCGATCGCAGCTGCTCGTGGGAGCTGGAACTCACTCTCAAAACTTGTAAATTGTATTTGCACACCTCTTAACAACTGTGAAAGCTTAGTACAATAAAACGTATCGCAATCCTTGACTTTGCAAGCGACTCAAAACATCAGGATAAATGTAGAATAAAACTCTCAGCGATACTCTGTCGGTCCATGCCGAACTCAGCACCGAGCATCACCTCGCCCCTCTTTGCGAGACACAACACCCATTGTTGATCTCGAGGCCATGCCCCGGAGTCTGCGCGTCGCAGTACTCTCTGTCGCTTATAGTCTTCTGTAACTCGCAGTAGTCTCTCCCCTCGGATCGCCGTGTGGTCATATGACAAAACATATGCATTATCTTTGAAACTGATTGGTCCACACCAGAGACAGCTTTCTTTCGAGCCTAGTATCAAACGGTGATAATCCAGAGGACACCAAAAGGCGTGCTCTTCGAGTGTTTGTGAAGAGATATGATAAGCGAGCCCCATATAAATGCTATTATTATTATAACATAGTGAATGCTTGGGAGTTTATTGGCTCTCGCTCCTAGTTAGAGATCTACCCAACCCACAGGTCCGCAAATACTGACCGCTCTTACTCTGCAGGTTGAACCTAGAAATGGAGTATTCAACTTCACGTTCTTTTCATTAAAGGCCCGTGACAAATGTGAATCTATTGCAGCTTCATTGTCTCAAGCTTACACATCTACAGGTTCTCCATTTGACCTTGTATTGTCTAAGAAGTCCACCCACACCTCCACTTCCACAAACTGCTGGGAGTTGCCTCGCTCTGCCTCACAGTCAGAATTCTCCTCCTGCTTCACGTTGCCTCCATTGATGTGAAGGTCCGATTTTGGAGTTGAATGTTCATCTTCACATTTTGCCTTCACTTCTTCGCTCTTCACTGTCACTTCTTCGCTCTTCACTGTCACTTCTTCGCTCTTCACCGTCGCCTCTTCAAATGTCACCTTGATACATTTCATTGTGTCCAAGCTGGAATTTACTTCTGGTTCTTTTTTCAGGAGGGATGGGCTCATTGCAGCACTTTGACTTTCACAAGTCGATTTCAGACTACACTCCTTGGGGGTCTTCTGATGCCAATGTGTTATCTGGTGTGTATTAAGCTGTGTTGTCTGTGCAAACGCCTTCCCGCACACAGTGCACTTGAAGGGTTTCTCTCCTGTGTGTATTCTCTGGTGTATTTTAAAATAAGACGAACGTGAAAATGCCTTCCCACACACACTGCACTTAAAGGGTTTCTCTACTGTGTGCGTTCTCTCGTGCATTTTAAGATTTGATGAATGTGAAAATGCCATCTCACACACACCGCACTTGAAGGGGTTCTCTCCTTTGTGCGTTCTCTGGTGGATTGTAAGATTAGATAACTGTGAAAATGCCATCTCACACACACTGCACTTGAAGGGTTTCTCTCCTGTGTGTATTCTCTGGTGGATTTTAAGATTAGATGACTGTGAAAATGCCATCTCACACAAACTGCACTTGAAGGGTTTATCTCCTGTGTGTGTTCTCTGGTGTATCTTAAGATTAAATGAACTTGAAAATGCCTTCCCACACACAGTGCATTTGAAGGGTTTCTCTCCTGTGTGTGTTCTCTCGTGTTTTTTAAGACCAGATGAAAATGAAAATTCCTTCCCACACACACTACACCTGAAGGGTTTCTCTCCTGTGTGTGTTCTCTGGTGTTTTTTAAGATTAAATGAATCTGAAAATGCCTTCCCACACACAGTGCACTTGAAGGGTTTCTCTCCCGTTGGAGATCTCTGGTCTTGTGTAAGATTTCTAGTACAATCCATGCTGTTTGCATACTGGTCCCATTGTTGTCTTTGTCTAATGAGCTGCGTTGAGTGCCTTTGCTCCATCAGACCAATTCTGCAGAGGAAGCATCAGAAGAAGCATCAGCTGCAGACAGAAAAAAATGTACAACACAATCTTCATCATTATCGAGGCACAGAGGAATGAATATATACACAGTCACACATGACTTACACGTCTATATTTATCCATATATTCAAGATTATCCCCAATTCATCACACGGGCTGTTAAGACACACAATGAGAGGGCAAAAGGTTAAAAATATGCCTGGAAGCCCTAGTATCTTCAAAATAAATGTTGGACCAAAACACCAAGCACACAATTTCAGCAGCCTGGCTGCAAAAGTAGTATTTATAAAAGCAAATATCAGCTAACATAGCAAAGGCTGTTGGGAATAATACTATTTGTATTATGCATAAATGCATAAATAAATGTTCAATCGAAACTTTAGAGGTGTGAAGCCAGGCTCAGATTTGCTTGAATGCTTGGATGAACAGATATAACTTCAGCGGCATATGTGCTGTTAATTTCCTATTTCCATTCTTCCAAAAAGTTCCAGAGGGAAACTAAAAGAAGCGATTGTTTTGATTTAACCTCCATGTTCAATAGTTAATATAATTTACTGCAAATACAAACTTGACACTGTCACACACTGGCATGGTAAAAAGTGGTGGTGTGTCCAGAACCATTCCTGGCCGCCTTCATCTGCTCAGTATTGACGCTTCCTCCCTTCACCATGTGATTAATTTAAGATCAATCAACATAGCAGAGGCCCACAAGCAATTCAGCTTTCACTTATCAATCATGTTTGCTGGCAGTGATAATCAAACTAATTGTTGAGTTCATAATGCAGTGAAATAACTGCACCACATCTCCCCACAAAGATAAACTCTCTAATACACATACATTTCACATGCATCATTAACATATCTAAACAAAAATCCACCATTCATGACGAATTGCAAGTAACCTTATCCCAGTGCTAATGCCATGATAGGTGCAATTTAAGGCCATGTAAGTGTGGATTCCTTGACAGCAGGTAATGGGAATGATCCAGGTGTCAAGGGATGACTGACAGATGAACCAGCTGTGCTCCCCACTGTCTTGCTGGGTTTTAGAAACCCAGCGTTCCACCTATTCATGTGGGCGTCGCTCTTCCGACCTCATCGTTGTTGCAGATAAAATATCTATTAACTGCCCTGCAGCATACCTGCAGGGCAGTTAATATTGTGTTGGACAAGATTACACCAAAAGGCGTACAACTCAAAAAAGGTGTCAGTTTTGTTGCCAGATAAAAGGGTAAAAAAAACAATTATCATATTTTGCGAATGGCAAAGGAGGTTCCAATGGTGTAAATGCTTACCCCAAGCTCTCATACTCTGATGGTGCATTGTCTTTGAGTTGTACGCCTTTTGGCGTCATCTGGTCCAACACCATGTGAGACTAGGCTCTAAGAAAAGCTGTCTCGGGTGTGGACCAATCAATTTCAAGGACAGTGCATATATTATCAAAGTTGTGTTGTTTGTTTGCATTCTGACCGCAGGTATTGTGGTCAATGCAAACATGACTCCTTGTAAAAAAAGGTATCAGTTTTGTTGCCAGATAAAAGGGTAAAAAAAACAATATTCATATTTTGCTACTGGTGTAGAGGTGTATTTGTAATGGTGTATTGGTACGGATGGCAAACAAACACAAGGGGCGTGGTTATGGCCGTACGCTAAGAAGGTGCTTACATCAACGTCCGCACCTGCCATCCCCCACGGCCCCCCCGGGGGGGGGGGGGGGGGGCGATTGCTATATAAGGTGGTGAGCCGGAGGGCTCGGGGTCGAGTGTTAGCTTTACCCAGCGAAGATTGAAGACCAGCTAGAGTAGGCCCCGGAACTCCCCTGGCTCGCTGTCCTTGTCAGGACCGACCAGGGAAAGCCGGTGGCGTGGCCCCGAGAGCCCAGACTGATGTTCTTATAAGAGCCGGTCTGGAGACTCAGGGTGCTGGGAATCCAAGATTGACCAGGGCTGGGATAGATAGCCTCCCTTAGCTCTGTAGTGGAGGACCTGGGAGTAGGCTAGCCGGGGTAGACGTTGGGTCTCCCTGTTAGACGGGTGAAGGGGCCGATACCCCTTCAAGTGTTGTGTATCCCCTGCTCTGTAAATACGTTGGTGTTAATAAATACATGTGCCTCCAACGACGTCGTCCGAGCCTCCTGCAACTACTACATCTGGTGTCAGAAGTGATCGTTCAACGATGGACACACGAGGGACGACTCGTACCAGGGAGCCGGAGATGGAGGACACCTCGGCCGACTCGGCATCAGAGATGGCCGAAGTCGGATCCAAGCAGCCGGGGCCGAGTACACCCACGCCGCAATGACAGGAAGGGTGGGGAGCGTCGGCCGAGGGACTTCGGCTGGCTCACTCCCGCCTGGCGGAGCTGCTCTACGCTGCGGCCGCCACGTTGGAGGAGATCACGCGGCTGGGGGCTGGAGAAGCTGCACGGGGCGACGGGGGCCGACACGCAGCGCCGCTTCCCGCCACCTCGACGCGGCTCGCGGTCAAATTTCCCGCCATCGCTACAGTGGGAGCAGAGGGCGGGGCCAGCCTGCGTCAGGTGACCGCCGAGTGCCAAGCAGAAGCCGCAACGTCATCAACACCGGCCAGCGTGTCGCCAACAGAGCGACCGGCGATGCCATACGCTCTGCCCGCCCACACTGTACTGAGTGCCGGGAACGACGGGGCACGATCCACGACCACGGACGTCGCATTACAGCAGCGACTACCGCCCCTCAAAGAGTTCGTGGGCGAGGACGGGGACTGGGGCGGCTTCAGAAGACGGTTCCTCGCTCATCAGGAGATAGCGAATTGGACGGACGACGAAGCACTACACTCGCTGCCAGCGATGCTCGACAATGACGCCCTGGCTACCCTCACCTCGGCGCCAAAGGAAAAGCACGCCACGCTGCAGTTGGCGCTGCAGCTTCTGTCCGCTGTCTATGGCCCGCCTTCGGACTGCAGGCAGTTGTTCCACAATCGCCATCGGGGCGCCAAGGAATCGCCTCTGGCTTTCCGAATGGCTCTCCTCGCCCTGGCGAAGGCAGCTTTTCCGCGGATGGATGAGGAAGGAGTGGACGCCATGGTGGCGGAAAAGCTGTTGCTGCTGGCGGACGAGTTGGACGTTGCGGTCTTGGCACAAGACGACACAGAGATGTGTTCCTTGCTGGTTGCGCGCCACATCCACGCGAGCTTGCGGTCCCTGCGTCGCAAGGCCAGCAAGGGGGTGGCCGGCCATTACGTGGCGGCTACCACCCTCCCATCGGAGGAGGTCTGCGCGGTGGAGCGGCCGGGGGAGTGGAGATCCGCGGGACCACAGGCTCGGAATGGACCGAGCCCCCAGGATCAGCCCAGGCCGTCTGGGGCGCTCACACGCTGCTACAACTGTGGCCTTCAGGGCCACGTGGCTTCAGGATGCCGGGCTCCTCGACGGCGCGGAGCGACGCCTCGTCCGGACGCCGCGCCGCCTCTACCCAAGCTCCAGCAACAGAATACGGCGAGTCGTGGCACCTCACATGTTTGGCCTACGCACACACCTGTCACACACTCACTCACTGAAACAAACAGGGGTCGCAAATCGCCAGGTGTTGCGTCGGTGTGTTCCGAAATGCGGCGGCCGCTCCAACCGGGGCAGTGGTCAGAGCTCGCCCATCGTGTTGTTGCCGCGTCGGCGGGGTCGACGGTCGTGGTCGGTCACATCGATGGGGTTGAGGTGCGGGTTTTAATTGATACGGGAGCATCGGCGACTATTATATCGGATTTGATTCATAACATCCTTCCCGTTCAAAGCCGTCCTTTGCTCCCCGTGGTGGTTCCATGCTATGCTGCTAACGGGGGCTCGCTGGGCATCATTGGGCAGATCCGCGCGCAAATTTGTATTAGGGACATCAAATTATCCGGGCCGGTATTGGTCTCCTCCTCGTTGGCGGTTCCGTGCCTGTTGGGGACGGATTTCTTGGCTAAAATGCCTATCCGTATATTGATCGACCAGGGTTGCATGGAACTCCCGTCGGGCCGACGTATAATGTTTTTATCCTCCCCCGCTACTGAGCGTCGGGCATTTGCGACGGTGCAAGCGCTCGTGGCGAGGACTGTACGCGTACCACCGGGAGCTCAGATGCTTGTGCCTCTTAGGTTGCGTCGGCCATTTGCTAAGGGAGTTGCGGATCGGGGGGTCCTGTTGGGACCATCTAGAGCCGGGGTCAATGGACCTGATTTGATAGCGGCTCAGACCATAGTGAAAGGGGACGGGGACCTCTTCATTGCGGTCCTTAATGTGGGATCACAAACGGCCGTCGTTCCTCAAGGGACCGTGCTTGCGCATGCAACGCCGGCGCCCTGTGAGGAACCGGTCGTGGGTCAGGTGAGCACCGATCCTCTGTCGCGACCGCATTCGGACCGTGATGAAGGATGGCTGGATGCGCTTTGCGTGGGATCAGTGGACCTGTCCGACTCACAGCGTGAGAGCCTTCGAGTTCTCCTGCGCGAGTTTTCCGACGTTTTTAGTCAACACAAATTTGATATTGGTTGTACTAAATTGCTGCGACACCATATTGACACGGGTGACAGCGCGCCAATCTGCCAAAATCCTTTTCGGTTGAGTCCCGCTGAAAAGGAGCATGTCAAATCGGCCATAGACGACATGCTAGCCGCAGATATTATATCCCCTTCCACCAGCCCTTGGGGGGCGCCGATCGTTTTGGTGAAAAAACACGACGGCTCACTGCGGTTTTGTGTCGATTTTCGTCGCTTGAACAAGATTTCCGTAGCCGACGCATACCCGCTTCCTCGGATGGATGAATCGCTTGATGCCCTAGTGGGGGCGCGGTTCTTTTCCATGTTGGATTTGCTTTCTGGATTCTGGCAGCTCCCTCTGGACGAGGAATCTAAACCCAAGACTGCTTTCCGTACGCCGCACGGCCTTTTTCAATTTAACCACTTGCCGATGGGGCTACATTCTGCGCCGGCAACTTTTCAGCGGTTAATGGAATTGGTCTTGGCGGGGTTGCA